ATATATATATTATAATAATAATAAAAAATTTTTTTTGCTTGAAGATATCAAATGGATTTTTTTAACCTTTAGGTATGCTAATAGAATAAAAATGAGCTGTTTATTAATACTTTAGAAACTTTATTTTGATTAATAAGGAAGATTTAAACAACAGTAACAATTCAAAAAAAATTTCCAAAATTGAGCAACTTATTGACATATAACAATTAAGCAACTGCAGAAAAGTATTTGCTGTAACCCCCGTGGACAAAGCTGGCAATAATTATGCAATCTTCGGTAAAAAAAATCCTATGTTGAAATTTTAAATAAAAAGTTAAAAAAATAGTAAAAATATTAAGCCTTGTAATTTAAATGATAATATTATTATTAAAAATATTTTAGTCTTATATAAGGGGTTAAAAATTAAAACTAATAATGTACAATTTCCATACTTAATAATCAGTCCAAAATTTCAAAAATTCCTATTAAATTTAGAACAATCACTTATGGATCTTATTCTTACCTAACTAAACCTGGCGCAATTTTCTCTAACTACTTAAAAAATTATTGACAATATTATTAAAGAAGGTTTTTCTTTGATAATCACTAATAATCAACTTATATTAGAATGTATTAAACAAAATAAAATTAATTCTATCGCTACTTCTCAATATCATTCCCCTTTCTAAACTAAAAGGTGTTCTTTTGAGTTATTACTATGAGAATAAAAATAACCTTAATTGCGATTTCGATTATTGGAAAATTCAAATTATTTTTTGTCTTTATAATAATAATCTTTACAATGGATATTTTTGTTCAAATTGATAGAATGCCACAAGGATCTAATTATTAATCACGTTAGATAACTTTGTTTTACACTATTACGAAAAAAAATTATACTCTAAATATTACATTTGTTTTTAGATTTATTGATGATGTATTTATCTTTAATTTTCAAAATTATACAATTTTGTTGAATAATATTTACCCCAAATAATTAATCTTAATAATTAATAATAATTAGCATTGCTTCGTAATCATGACGATAATATTGGTTTAAATTTTTTGGATTTAAGTATTAAAAAAGAAGATAATATCAACATTCTTGATTTATACGATAAAGGAAATGATTTTAAATTTAATACAAATAAACTAATTACAAGGAATTCTAATGTTTCTATAAGCATTTATTTAAATACCATTTTCAATCAAATGAATAGAATTAAAAGAATTTGTAGTAATGTTTATTTATCGAAGAAAACAAATAGAAAAACTCTTCCAATATTTAATTAAAAAAAATAAATTAATTAATTAATTTAAAAAATGAATGTTCAACTGTACGAATTAAATTCTAAATAAAATGTAAGTGTAAGTAGAAGTAAGTGTAAGTACGTTTGAATTCGCTTCTCGTTTTATATATTACATTTTGTGCTTTATTTTGTATTTTATTTTCAATTTTTGGATTCATTGTATTATTTAGCAATTTTTGTTTCATTTTGCATTGTTTGTTTGATATGATCTCCTTTCATTTCCATTATTTTGGTGTTTTTCACACAATTGTATTGTATTTTCACTTTGGCTGTAGTACAATATAAGAAAGCACTCTTTTATCAGATATAATCGTGTGAGCTGATGACGAGAGCATACATTTTCCGTGCTTTGTTTTCCGGCTATTAATTTCATTTTTTAATTTCAAAAATTTTAAATATTTTTATTTCAAAAATTATCATTTTTTAAAAATATCTTTGTATTTTTTCTATGCTCTCTCTATGTTTTAAACTGATTTTATGAGTTCTATACACTTGCAGCTTATGCGCAGTTACCAAAACTTATTATTATTTTTCGTAATTTTCTCCTTCAATAACACAGAAACTTTCAATTTTTGGCATTTTTTTAAATTTCTTAAGAAATACTTAAAGGATTATTTTGTAACTTTAGAGGTGTTTAGTCATTCAACTTTTCGTACTTGGCAATAAGATTTAAACCTTTCAAAGGTTTTGAATACCAAACAAAGTATTTTTGAGCACACTACTCCAAAAAATCTAGCAGCTTGCAACTTGTACCGATTACTTAAGTTGTTATATTTAGTAAGTACATAAAATTTCGTAACTCTGCCGTAAATATTTGTGAAGATATGGTAATTTTTATTTTAAAAAGATATCCATTTCTTTGTTGTTGTTTTTTTGCTGTAAATTTAAAAATTTTAAATGGAATTAAAGAAAATTTTTAAGCAAGTTTAAAATTAATTGCAAGATTATTTATTTAAGATTTAAAGCAATTTCGTTTAAAAACTTCGTAAGATATAAGTATTTAAATAAGTTCTTTATTACGACGCAAGCTCAAGCAATTTTTTGAAAAATTCAGAATTTTATAGTGAATCGTATTTGGCAACTAAAGAAAAAGTTTTATTTGAATATTTATAAAGTTTCAAGCAATTTTTAAAGTAGTTTTTGTACTTTTTAAAAGAAACCTCAAAATGATAAGGGATTTTCCACAAATTTCATTTTGAACTATTAAACAAGATTTATTAAAAATGAGACCAGCATTTAGAGGGAGAATCCCCCATAAAAGTATGTTTTCTTTCTCTCCTTATACCATTACATTTTGGTTTTCGTGCGATTAATTTTAGGTATTATCATTTGTCATTAAATTTTGTCTTAGGATGCAAAATGATATTTGAGGAAAACCCTTCATTGCTTTTCCTAATAAGTAGTAGGGAAGAGGGGCGCGTATGGACAGACTGATAGTGTATCAAAATAAAATATTTCTGCTATTTATTACCTAAACTAAATTGGTCAAAAAATTTTGTTTAATTCCATTGAATATTTATGAAGTCATAGCAAAAAACATAATTATTTATAAAAATGTTCATATCTCCATAAATATTTATTCTAGGATTACGAAATTTTAGGCAGCGATTAAAAATAACAATTGAAGTATTTAATACAAGAAACAAGCTTATTGCTTGATTTTCTGGCAGAGGGTATTCAAAAATGTACCCACTGTACAAATGTACACATTTTCTTTCGTAATTTATTGTCGGTGTCCCAAACCTTTGAAAGCTTTAATATATATATATATATATATAAATGCCATTCATACATTTCATGTTTGAAGTACTTATTGATTTTAATTTTATAGCTTGTGGTCTTTGAAGGTGAAGAATAAATTCTATGTGGTTTTTTGATTATTTTCCTGGCATTTGCCTGGAATTTTTATATTTAATATTTTTTGCTTTTCTTAAATTTTTGCTTCAATTATTTATTGATTTTAATTTACAGCTGGTATTATCTACAGATGAAGAAATTGTAGTATGATCTGTTGATCGGAAGTTCTCTTTGCTTTCATAATTTCTTTCTAGCATTTGCCTGGAACTTTTATATTTCATATTTTTCTACCTATTATAAATTCCTTGGTTAAGGTGTTAGTTGATTTCAATTTATAGCTTGTGGCCTTGAGATAAAGATGAAATNTTAAAAAATAATGCATGTATTATCTTCAACCTCGGACTACGATGTATTAAGTAATATTGTCGTGAAACTTTTTTTATTAACAATAAACTAATATAGTTTAAAATTGTTAATTATTATCTAAAAATTGAATAAATAAAAAAATAATGATATAAAAAATAAAATTACAAAATTAATGTTTTTAATTATAATTATTATAATATAAATTATAATATTAATTTAATATTTTATTACTTAAATGCTCAATAATAAATTAAGAATATAAAAATATCTTAAAATAAAGTATCTTCTATATTCTAAAGTCAAAAAATCCTCCGAAATATACTTAGATGGACATTGGACAATCGTAAAAAATAATAACCTATCTTTTTTATGTTTGTCAGGTTATAGCAACCCTGGTCTACAAAATATTTAGTAATATTGTTTTAAAAAATTATATGAATTGAAAACAAGTTAGTATAATTTGAAATATTCAATGATTACCTAAATGGAAGTACGGAAGTACGTAAAAGAATGGTAGTAATAATGAAAGTACGTAATGCTATTCTCAAGTTATAATAATTATTTTAATATTCACTATTATTTATTTAATTTTATATTTTTTTAATGTTCCATAATCAAGAAACGTTTTTTGTAAATCTCTGTTTAAATAGGTCTCTTCTATTTTTTAAAAGTCAAAAATTCCTCCTTGATAGTTTGATTAAAATCAGTAAAAAAAAAATGATAATAGTAAGTAACTGATCTTTTTTTTCCATATGTTGGGCTATAATAATCTCAGTATAAGGTATATTTGGTAATAATGTCGCAAAAAATAACATTGTTTGAAATAAAATTTGTATAATTTAATATAGTCAATGATTAGCTAAATAAGAGATATTAATAGTAAAAAAATATACTATTTTTAAATTATAATTAATTTAATATACATCATGATTT